ATGTTGTTGTGTTGAGATTTATATATAAACTATCACAACTCCTGCAAATAATGACAGTTTTCTCTTTTTCTTTTCCAATACTCATTTGGATGGCAACTTTAATTTCTTAATGTCTTGTAACATTGGGTAACACCCCCGGTACTACATTGAAAAATAGCACTAACAATAGGCATAATTGTTTTGCTTCCAGTCTGAAGGAGAGTCATCTGAAATTTCTGAATTACCTATTTTTGTTGTTGTTGTGTTTTTTAAAAATGTAATGTTTATCAAGGTGAGGACATTTCTTATTTTTTATATTCTGAGAGTGTATTAATTTAAATCATAAATAGGCATTGAGGAAACACATTAACAGAAAGACCTGCCACTCAGGAACCAGGGAATCTGACCCAGGAGGGACTCGCAGGGAATTCCTGGGATGATGGCAAGGGAGGAGCTGGAGGGCATGGGGCTGGCCCGGAGCACAGCTGACAGTGTAGATTAGTGACATGCCGATGGCGTGACCTCGGCTGTATTTCCTCCGCCTGGCCTCACTTCATTCTCAACTACTTTCAAAGCCTTATTTCTCTGGCCTTTCCATTGGCTTTAGTGGCTCACCAGTAGCCCTCCAATACCTTCAATAAATTTCCTTAGGATTGGCAGGAACATTTTCTACTAACTGCACCAAAAACTTAAGTAATACAGAAAGTGAGTTACAGAAAGCAAACTGTTAAAGAAATGTGGGTTGTGTGGGCTTAGCTGTCTGACTCAGTAGTCACAAAAGGCAATGAAAATCCACTTAGTATTTAGGGACACAATGCTGACATGGCATTGGACAGCTTAAGGAAAGAGAAAAAGAAACCTCAAAGTCTTACATTCTGAAATTGAGGTGCAAAGTGTAACCCACGGTCCTTTTGAAATGATGAAGTTCAGTCCCACAGGTTGCTGAATTGTAAAGTCCGCTGAGTTTACAGAATCTTAGTATCAGGTGAAGGTTAGAGCATTGCTCAAAACTCTTAAGAATTAGATTAGGGATCTAGAAGAGAAGCCAAAGCATCCAGACTACTCTCAACCCCGCCTCCCCTTGCTCCCAGGTCCTCCTTACTAGCTCACATCCTGCCCTCTTCATATAACCCGAACTTCTTTCCTTGCATGAAGACCCTGAAGGCTTCTTGCTCAAGCAAGTTCCATTGCATGGAGAAGTGGCTCCTCACTCACCCGTCCTTGCGTGTTACCCTCATGATCTCTGAACTATCTTTCATTAGACTCAGATCTTCACATGTCTAGGGAATCAACTGCAAAGTCAAATCCTGGAATAGGCCAGTCTGGGCAACTAAGTGAGACCCCGTGTCAAAAAAAAAAAAAAGTCGTTACAATAGAAGACTCTTGATAGCTTCCCTCACCACTGGCAAAAAAGCCAAAAGCAATAGCATATCCATGAGGGAAATTCAGAGGATGTTAGCCGTTAGTGACCAAAGATGCATAGATGTTGATTCCTGTGATAGTCCTATTTAACTTCCAGTTTGACCAGCATGAAAAGTGGATGGATGGTGGATAATGACAGTGGCTTATGACTCATTAATAATCACAGTTGCTTTTCCAGATGTGAGCTTTGTAGTGGAGCAAATCAAAACACCCTCAGGCATATAGAATGCAGCTACAGATAAGGAAATATTTTTTTCTTAATCCCAAATTAACAGGAAACAACCGAGAGGGTTTTTTTGACCACGAAGCACATCTTCCGTGTCTTGCCTTGAGGGTTTCAGGGGTCTGGCTCTCTCCAGCCATCTGCTGTGCACATCCCACAGGACACCATCTGAGACCTGCATCACCCTGCCCTTGAACATCCTTGCAAGTAAGGTTGTGTGAGATAAATGAGAATGGTCCCACACTTTGAGAAGAGTTTGGGTTTGGCTTACACACACACGAGTCTCTGCCATGCCCCACCGTGAATGGAGCTGTCAAGAATCTGGTGGACGAGATGACCCACTTGACGAAATGGGTCAGCTGCTAACCCAGTGCTCATGGATAAGATGTCAAGGAAGGCACTGCCCAATCGGGGGTGTTAGCCGTGATTAATTCTGCGAGTGACCTCAGAATCTGAGGCAGAATCATGACAAAATTAGAGGAAAAGAATGGACTTCAGCCGGCAAGTAGCAGAAAGATATACACGGATGTGGGACAGGGAGCGGTTACTGTAGGGTACATTTTTGTGGCTACCTAGGAGAAACATTCATCCGTGCTGGATAATTCCCTGATTTCGGGAGAACCGGCCCTTTCCTCCCAGGATGGCATGGAGTGGGCCAGATGCTTCCTGCCACACTCTCTGGACCACCGCCTGTGGTGTGTCCTCCTGGGACTCGAATCTTGAGGGAGTGATGGAAAGATGGGGACAGTAACGTTGTTCATTTGTGGTGACAGCAGCCAGGCCAAGGGTCCAGGGCCTGTGTGCCCAACAGTCTCCAATTGACCCCTACAGTGTGAGCATGACTGCCTGGTCCCTCTTCCTTCCCTACTTCTTCTTTTATTTATTTATTTTTTTATTGAGACAAAGTTTTGCTCTTGTTGCCCAGGCTGGAGTGCAATGGCACATCTCAGCTCACCGCAAACTCCGCCTCCCCCGGGTTCAAGCAATTCTCCTGCCTCAGCCTCCCGAGTAGCTGGGATTACAGGCATGCGCCACCATGTCCGGCTAATTTTTGTATTTTCAGTAGAGGCGGGGTTTCTCCATGTTGGTCAGGCTAGTCTCAAACACCCAACCTCAGGTGATCCATCTGCCTCAGGCTCCTAAAGTGCTGGAATTACAGGCGTGAGCCACTGTGCCTGGCCCCTTCCCTACTACTTAAACTGGGGAGAGGTGGTGGGAATGACTCACCCTAGGTGAAGGCAGTAAGAGGATACATTCTCAGTAAAGAATTTTAAAGGCTGTCCTGCAATCTTTCCACGTTCTGTGAGCTACCATGTCTCTTTTAAAAAATATCTCTTTTGGTGGGGCTAGTCTCAAACACCCAACCTCAGGTGATCCATCTGCCTCAGCCTCCCAAAGTGCTGGTGGCTCATGCCTATAATCCCAGCACTTTGGGAGGCAGAGGTGGGTGGATCACTTGAGGTCGGGAGTTCAAGATCAGCCTGGCCAACATGGTAAAATCCCATCTCTACTAAAAATACAAAAATTAGCCAGGTGTGGTGGCGCATGCCTGTAATCCCAGCTACTCAAGAGGCTGAGGTGGGAGAATCTCTTGAACTTGGGAGGCAGAGATTATAGTGAGCCGAGATCATACCACTGTACTCCAGACTGGGTAACGGAGTGAGACTCTGTCTCAAAAAAACAAAACAAAACATAACAAAACCTCTTTTTATGATCAAGCCAACCGGTTGTTTTCTGCTGTATGCAGAAAAGAACCCAATACTGTGCATTTTTCTATCTTCAGAGTGATCACCTAGGTATGAATTTTTATGAAGAAACTTTTGTTTGATCTACAGAAATTCCTTACATTTGACTTGTTTCATTTTCTTCTATTAAATTCCAGAAAATTGCCGGGCATGGTGGCTCATGCCTGTAATCCCAGCACTTTGGGAGGCCGAGGTGGGTGGATCGCCTGAGGTCAGGAGTTCGAGACCAGCCTGACCAACATGGAGAAACCCTGTCTCTACTAAAAATACAAAATTAGCCGGGCGTGGTGGTGCATGCCTGTAATCCCAGCTACTAGGGAGGCTGAGGCAGGAGATTCGCTTGAACCTGGGAGGCGGAGGTTGCGGTGAGCCGAGATTGCGCCATTGCACTCCAGCCTGGGCAACAAGAGCAAAACTCTGTCTCAAAAAAATAATAATAATAATAATAATAATAAATTCCAGAAAATTAAATTCGACAACTTTATTTAAAAATTGCATACATAATATAATCTGATTTTTGTGAAAAATTTTTTATTCTTCTATCTGTGTTTAGGGACGCACCGAATGTTGTTCACTGGGTGCTACCTAATACTGTTGTTGGCTGATGGGAGTTAGGATGATGGTTTATGTTCTTTGTGTTTTTTTCTGTTATCACCTGTATTTTTAAAAAATAATCATCAATTATTTGAAATAAATAATAATGTTAAAAAAGCATATTCTCAAAAATTTAATAATGTGAAAGAAAGTAGATTACAAAATTGCAGGCTCATGCCTGTAATCCCAGCACTTTAGCAGGCTGAGGTGAGTGGATCACTTGAGGCCAGGAGTTCAAAACCAGGCCTGGCCAACACGGCAAAACCCCATCTCTACTAGAAATACAAAAATTATCTGGGTGTGGTAGTATGTACCTGTAGTCCCAGCTACTCAGGAGGTTGAAGCAGGAGAATCGCTTGAACCCTGGAGGCGGAGGTTGCAGTGAGCTGAGATGGTGCCACTGCACTCCAGCCTGGGCGACAGAGCGAGACTCCGTCTCAAAAAATCAAAACAAAACAAACCTGCATATTATGCTATTATACAATTATGTAAAGAAAAACGATTGGGAATAATTACATTTAAATGTTTCTAGTTATTTCAGAGAATTGAGAATTTAAGTGAATTTTTTTTTCTTTTTGAGACTGGGTCTGGCTCTGTCACCCAGTCTGGAGTACAGTGGCATAATCTTGGCTCATTGTAACCTCCACCCACCGAGCTCAAGCTATCCTCCCACCTCAGCCTCCCCAGTAGCTGGGACCACAGGCATGAACCACCATGCCAGGCTATTTTTGTTTTGCTTTGTTTTGTTTTAATAAAGACAGGGTCTCGCCATGTTGCTCAGGCTGGTCTCAAACTCCTGACCTCAAATAATCCACCCACCTCACCTCGGCCTCCCAAAGTGCTGGGATTACAGGCATGAGTCACTGCACCTGGCCTAAAGGTGATTTTTAAAATAGCTTTTATAGATTCTAAGTTTTAAAAAGTTAATATACGTATTACTCCTTTGTATTAGGTCGGGGTTTTCCCGAGAAATGGAAGCAATAGGATGTGTGTATATATAGAAAGAGATTTATTATAAAAAAAAAATTGGTTCATACAATTGTAGAGGCTGAGAAGTCCCAAGATCTGAATCAGCAAGCGGGAGACCCAGGAGAGCTGGTGGGATACATAGTCTCAATCCAAAGGCCAGAGAAGACTGATGCCGCCCCCTGAAAGGCAGTCAGGCAGAGAGAGCACATTCAACCTTCATCCACCCTTTTGTTCAACTGAGGCACTCAACAGATTGATTTGATGATCCCACATTGGGAAGGGGCAACTGCTTCCCTCTGTCCACCAATGCAAATGCTAATCTCATCTGAAAACACCCTCACAGACACACCCAGAATAATGTTTAGCCAAATATCTGGGTACCGCACGGCCCAGGCAAGTTGACAAATAAAATTAACCATCACACTCATTATAATGAAAAAAAAAAAAAAAGTCACTGAAAAGACACAGAGTGATCTTTCAAAAGAAGCATTCGGACAAGTTGAGTGGCTGCTTATTTGAACATTTTTACAAAGTGTGGAGGGAGGGAACCACATGTTGAGACCTTTCTCAGGACATCAGTAAATATTCTAGATAACCCCACATCTTTGTGTTTGTGGAGGGTATTCAATATCAGAAGTGGCGAGATAGAGAGTCCTGGGATCCAAGCAACCTCTGTTTTGATTTTAATATCTTCTGTTCATAGAGTTGCCAGGGTCAGCCTGCTACGGCACTGGGTACTTTTTTAGATGTGTGGAGGGGGTATGACTCCTGTCTCCAGATGAAGAAATGAAAGGTCCAACACAAGTAAAGACAGAAGATTTAAACCCAAGTTTGAGTCACCATTTGAAAGGAAAATAAAGAATGGTTGCTGGGGTGGTTGACAGCTTGTTTCCTGGGTCTGAAGCTCCATCTCCTGTCTCTCTTTGATGCTGGACAAGAGCTGGTGGAATTTTTCTTTCTAATCAGGGCATTTTTATTGCAACACACACGTACAAAATTGGAATGTATTTTACATGTCCTTCAATGGGCTTGAAATATTAATTTCCCAGCTATTTAAGATAAAATTGATCGTCGAAGCTCAGAGATTGGAGAACAAGGTGTAATGAGTGAAGCAGTGAATTACGCACCCCAGGGCTGCTGTCTACCTCCACTTCCAGGGCAGGCAGAGAACAGCCACTGTGGCAGGGACGTCTGTCTTTGCCAAAATTCACACCATCCCATGTCTACTAAATAAAAATCATCTATTAAATCTTGTAACATAGCCGTTTTCTTTCAAACAGAGAGTCTTGGGGATTTCCCATACTTAGAATTAAATTAAAATAATCTATCCCGCCAGATGTTCTGCTTTTGTGTCTGGACTATGTGAAATGGTGAGGAGAAGAGACGTTTCTGCCAAGTGCCAACACGTTTTAAACACTGAAGCAAGATAGGCTCTAATTTGCCTTAAGATTCAATATTTTTTATTCAGCCAGGTAAGTTTTTAGATTCTTAGACTAATGGCAAAGAACACATCCCAATTCTTAGCCTTCTTTTTACTACTGGCTACACTACAATGATTTTAAGCACATTTTAACATGTAGCTAGTAAGGTATCCTCCTAATCCACACACTTGGGGTTTTAGCACATTGAATTTCTTCTACAACTTCCCTCCTGGACATGGCCCACTGTCTTCTCCATGGCAAAACCTGTTTACAAGTCTTTTATGACACTGAGTACCATTGCTTATGACACTCAGAATTCATGGTTTTGAGATTCAAAAGTCTTTTCTTCCAAACTATTATTTCTGCGGAGACCTTCAAAGTCCATTTTAAGACTCAATATACTATCCCCATAGGTTTCTCCCACCCCCTCCTCTAGGGCAGTATTCTGTGCAAGAAATGTGCAACGGGAAAAGAAAAGGCACAGACAATATTTTTAAGGGTAAACAGCCTTTACCCCAAGTATATGGCAATACACATATAATAAGCAAATGATATAATAAGCAAATTACGATGGGAAGGGGAGACAGGAAAATAAAATAATATATAACTACTAATCATATTCACTAATATTTACACTCACCAGACTATGGAAATTCAATCATCCAGAGCCACGGGAAGCAACGCACTAGCTCACAACAAGCGTCCGGCACCAGTCCTGCACGATGAGAGGGGCTCATGAAGCTTCAGCGCAGTCTGGGCCTACTTCTCTTTGTAACAACGTTGTTGCATGTAAGGCCCAGTCATGGCAGGCCTCTTGTTACGGGCATCAGGAACACCAAAAAGGTCAACTTGTTTTTTGCGAT